TTGATGAAGCATGGAGGGGATTATAACCATGGCAATGAAACCATATACAATAGGATGAATGTAAAACTAATGTTCTCCAATGTAAACTGTCGCGTAATTCACAATAAAACGTTTAAAAAATATATATCTGGAGGAAAGTTGAACAGGATACAGGACAATTTGTCATTGCTTGTAAGCTGTCCAAGGCACTTGCAAGATACCTAGTACCTCTGGCCCCTGACTACCAAATGCCAACGATGCCACCCAGTCATTCTGACATTAAATGCACCACAAATTCTAAAAATGTCCTCTGTGGGGCAGTATCATTTTCATTGAGGTCCACTAAACAAGAACATTGAGGGAAGGCTTAAACTACATTTTAAAGAAGCACAAGAAGTTAGCCTGTTGTTGTTAAGTGCCGTTGAATCATTTTGACCCCTAGCGACCCTATGGAGGAGCAGCTGCTAAGTTTGAACTGCTGACCTTGTGGTTCAAACCGACCTTGCAGTTCAGTGCTTATCCTGCAGCACCACACCGGGACTCCAGAAGTTAGCCTAGTCCATAGTAAGTGCTCAGAAATTATGTGTTGAATGAATGAATATTGAAGTCTGCCTTTTTTATATTCCTGTTCACATTCTTGAAAAACTGCCGTAATATCTAAACTTACGCTATTTTTTTTTTTTTACCATAAATTGAAATATGAATAAGTTCACATGCAAGGTAGACATCACTAAAAGGCTACCTACCGTCTTAGAATGAAACATGTGTAACAGATTAGTATCCTGAGCCATGACATCTTGGTCTCCTGAATGACTGTGTGAGATGGCATTACGTTCATACACTCCCTGGGTGATGAACTTAAATATTCTTACTCTTCACTGACCTATTTGCTTTGAAACTAAGTACACAGGTGTCTACATTTGTATTAGTCCTCAGTCTGTTCTGTCTCTCTGATTCTTTTTCACCAGGATATTGAAGATACAATGAACACTGCTTTGAATGAGCTGCGAGAACTGGAGAGACAGAGCACAGCAAAGCACGCCCCTGATGTGGTGCTGGATACCCTGGAGCAAGTGAAAAACTCTCCCACCCCTGCCTCATCCACAGAATCTCTCAGCCCTTTGCACAGTGTTGCCCTCAGGAGCTCTGAGCCTCAGATTCGACGCAGCACTAGCTCCTCCAGTGACACAATGAGTACTTTCAAGCCAATGGTGGCACCTAGAATGGGTGTTCAGCTGAAGCCACCAGCCCTCAGGCCAAAACCCACTGTTCTTCCAAAAACAAACCCAACCATAGGACCTGCCCCACCTTCCCAGGGTCCAACAGACAAGTCTTGCACAATGTAAAAATCAGCTGAGCAAGGTCACCAGAGGCAGCGATTAAAAAAAGAAAACGGATTAGTGACAAAGGTCAACAATCCATAGCTTTCATTAGTTTTGTGCTTATAACTGGAGATCTTTTGGCTTTTCTGTGGTTCTAGAATGTAACGTCTGAGACTAGCTAAATTAACACGGGCATTTGTATTTTGTAATTTTTTTTTTAAATAACTGGACAGATGTCATTTTTGAGACAATAGAAACACTTAGACTTACTTGAAAATCCAATGCTGCACCACTTGTAATGAAGAAGGCCCTGCTTTCTGCGTTGTTCTGTGCTTCAGATGTAGCGTAGCCCTGGGGAGTCTGAAGAGAGGCCAGGTGGTGCAGTGCTCACCAAAAGGTCAGCAGTTTGCACCCACCAGCCACTTCCTAGGAAAAAGATGTGTCAGTTTCCATAAAGACTTGCAGCCTTGGAAACCCTATGGGGATAATTCTACTGTGTACTATAGGGTCGCTATGCATCTGAATCAAGTTGACAGCTGTGGATTGCGTTTTGGGTTTTGGGTGAGTCAGAAATGTCTTGATCCAAAGACAGAAGAAGCTGAGCTCCCAGGGCATGTTGAGTATAACCGTTGTGGGTCTGTGGCATGCGGGAATGGCTGAAAGCTGAAATGGCATGGTTTAATAGCTGACCATGAGCAGTTCTGATCCCAAGGGCAGGGGTGGGGTTTCCAGCTCATGCTAAAGACTTGCCATTGCCACAGTGCGTCCTTCTTGGGTTGGGGTGATTGCCTCTTTTATAAAAATAATTTCCTGGGTCCAGGTTAAAGGCTCAGTGGAAGAGGGCAGAACCTCTATAGTTACTGCTTGAACTGAACCTAGGCAGGGTGAAAGGCGAAGTCCTCCGAGCTGTAGATGCTACTCCTTCCGTGAGCCTGATCCTGCCCCAGAAGAGCTAGAGTTCATGAAGGACTATAGCACACAGTCTAATTTTAAAAGACTTCTGGTTACACTACTTAACAAACTCCTTCAGATATCTGTTGTTTAGTAACTGCCTCGAAAATATTTCTATCTCCCCCTAAATCCCTGTATTATCTGTGGAAATGACCAATAAGTAGTATTCAAGTCCTTTGTTCCCTCAGCCTTCTCTTATTCTACATAAATTTCCGTGGCTCCTTTAAACTTCTTGTAGAGGTCTGATAATTCTCAAATCTGCTTCCTCTCCACTTGTCCATTTGAGTCAATACAGAACTGGCTGTGGTACCAATGTACCACGGCAGGGCCAAAGTGGGAAGTTTACCTCATGCTTCCAGAATGAAGTTTCCCCTGATTTTGCACCCTGGAACCATGATCCTTTTTTTTTTTTTTGGTTTTTGGTGTCTTTATGAAATCCTAATGTGGCTCTGTAGGATAAGCACTCGACCACAAGGTCAGTTTGAACTGCAAGGTTAGCCACTCCTTGAACCCATAGGATCACTATGGGTTGGAACTGACTCAACGACATTTAACAACAACAGCATAGCTCACATGGTCAGCTGAAGCTCCATCAGGTACCCTCTTTCCCTGACATCTTAGTACATTTTTGGTTTTTCTTTATAGCTAATATGTATGCTGTTTCTCTCTGTCTTACAAAGCTGGCTCTGAATTCCATTCTTTCCACTGAGGTACAAATCACCTTTATCCTCTTAATGCCAGTTTATATCATCTGTAAATTCATGAGCATTTTATCTACTGTGTCACTGAATTTCGAGATGAACATCTTTTTGAATAAAAACAGATGACCCAGAATTAACCCTCTGGACCTCCATGGGTTTCCAGCTAGAGTCACACTTGACTATTGATGACTTGTATTTGGCTTCAAACTGTCCGTCAACTAAGTGCAAGTTCACCTAAGAGTTTTACAGCCTCGACTTTAATTCTCAGCCCACTCACAAGTGCATCCTACAGGCAAACATCTGTACTAAAATCAAGACCACCACTTTTACCTCTACCGCAGTCGGCCAGTCTAATCATCCTGTTGTAGAAAGAGATGAACTTAAAGATAGGATCAACCTTTCAAAGTCATACTGCTGGCTGCTTGCCAAGCCCTAATTTCACATATGGATTAAAGGGTGCTTTTATTTTATTTTATTTTATTTTGAGTGTTTCCAGGTATGGTCAACTTAAACTTCTGAATTTTGAGAACTATCTTTTTTGCCCATTTTCAAGACGAGACCCATCTCATCATCTTGTATAGCCCATTATCCTTTGCCTGGAGCGGTACTGGTCCTTCAGCACTTAGAGACACAGCAAAGACATAGCCAGGCTGACACTTTGAGTAGCACTTTCCCTGTTAAACATTATTCCCTATTTTTGCCTTTCCCCTTTCTTCCCAGATTCCACATTGCTTTCTGATTCTGTCACTAGCTGGAGAAACAGAAGCACAGAGTAAAGGTGGAAGTAATAAGAGGTGAGGGGCATGCAAATCTTAAATGTAGAAATTAAGAGGGGAGGGAAAGGGCATTTGAAAACCATTTTCCTTATTTGATTAAAGCAGAGCATTAAAAGGTCAGAGGTGTTTTTAACTTATGACTCTCATGTCTTTTATAAGCTTTAACATTAGCTTTGTAGATCTTCCTACTCCCACAACCCTGTCTTCAGGCTTCTCCCTGGTGCACCTCCGTAGCAGCTCCTCTCTCTGTTGTCTACACTTAAGATGGAAAGAGGATTGCTTTTCCGCCCACCAAACTAGGACTCTGCTGCTCCAGACCTGCAGAACCTTCTTAAAGGAAACAGCTCCCAAGGGTCTCCCATGGCTCCATCCCTCTCCCCAAACCTTATTGTCACCCAGAGGCTTATTCTTTCTTCTTTTTGACAATTCCTTAGGAGGAATAGGACTCAAGGAGGACTGTTATCCTTACTTAGTAAAGGTCTTTAGATTCCAAGGGTAAGACAAGATGATCACTTCACAAAGGGTCTAAATAACACAAAAGTAAAGTCATTAAAAGTTTCAGCAGCAGAATGGCCTCACCTAGTACCCAGTCTCCTTTATACCAACAGGTGCAACACATGGAGGGGAGGTGGGGAGGCAGAGGAAAGAAGAAAGACAATGAATCTTTAATATGTTCTACCCCCAGTGTCAGGGACCTGGTCAGTCCTTGTGGGCAGTTTAGGGAGGGGTGTCATTTGAGTGCTGGGTAAATGATGGTTCTACAATGCTTACGTGACTCCACTTATGTAAGAATATGAATTCACAGCTGAAAGATTTGTATGTTCATGGCCTATCCTTGAAACTCATAGAAGTAGATTTACCAACTCAGCCTTCGGTTTGAGTCAGGGAAATGAGAGGTAGATTTTTGGGATACGGAGAAGAGGGCACATAGGGCATATTTTTTTAAGGAGTGTTTTCTAAAATGTTTCAACCTGTTGAGTGGCCCATTATAGCGCTTTGTGTTAAGTGTACGTGCCTTTGTTAGGCCGTTTTGCATGTTGTCACACAACATAATCTGATTTGGGTGCCTGTTGAACCATCTACAGAATAATTTACAGCTGGGTTTTACTTCAATCTACTACAATGTTATCAGTGGAGATAGAGCTCAAGGGAATGTACTGGTTAAGAACTTTCTTTGTAGTTTGGCCATTCCCCAAATTGGTTCATAATTAAAGAAAAAGAAAAGGGGCAGGCAGTGGTCTCCTTTGCATTTGGGCATGACATAGTCTCTGGAGTCTTCAAACTGAAGAAATGTTAAGGTGAACAATGTTAGAGCCTCCGAAACCCAAAGTTAAAGAGCCTTGTGAGGTTTGGCTGACACTCCGTAATTCACAGCAGTCAGTGAAGGTCATGGATACAGGAACCGCAGGTGGGGCTGAGTCCTGCTCTGAGTCATCCCACACAGAGGCCCTGAGCACAGAGCAGTGTAGTAGTGAAGGGTCTACCCGTGTGTAAATACAGCTTCTACTCGAGATCACCACTGCCCCCCCTTGCTGAAAGGCTGGGGTGACAGGGTAACTTTGGCACAGCTTCACGCAGATTTGCAAAACAGACGAATTTGAGCTTTCACTTACCCTAGTATACTTTCTTTAAAAAAAAAACAAAGTCAATGTGGTATAATTGAATGGGTACCTGTATCTTTAAATTACATAGGGAATTTTGTATGTTTAAATCATTGTACTGGGTTCCATAATTCTTATCTTAGAAACTGTTTAGTAAAAGAAAATATATAAACCGTGCATTTGTGAATGCCCCCCTTAGAGCATTCATCCAAGTTAAATGTGTAGTGTGATGGTTATAATAGATACTTAAAGTCTAGTAAGTGACTGTAACAGGAGACACTGCTATTTACATACGTACTGAAGGGGAGCTCCTGCCCACGTAATTAAATCAGTATTGTCCTTTCCTGTCGGTTTGATGAGTTGCAGTACTGGTAGCTTCCTGCTTGTGACTGTTACCTAATCGTGTCAATGTACATCTGTCGTATGTACATGTAAAAGTGCCTTTCTATTTTAGAGGAGTTGTAGCCTTGCTCTTGTACTGTTGCATTTCTTCAATGCCTGACCCACGTCATCTTCCCAACCTCTCTTCCCAATCCCTACCACCCACTGAGTCTGTGGAAACTTCTACGGCTCGTTCACAACTTCTCCATCTCCACCCTCTCTCCTGTGCATAGGTGCTCAGTATTGTCCTGTCTTGCATTCTGGTCAGTCCAGACAGTCTTGTTTTCCTTGTAGACATGATTGTGCCTTTCCCAGCCCACAACAACTCTTCCTGTGTCTTCTCATCCCACCCCGTCCTGCTCATGTGCTGCTGCTGTCCATCCTGTGGCCTATGGTCTGTACTGCCTCTTACCCTGACATTTCCCCCCTCTCTGAGGGGAAAGTTAAAGGAGGGTACTTCTACAGTTCTGGAAGAAAAATAAACATTGTTTTCTTAATCTGTTGTGACAGTGTACTTTTCTGTAGAGTACTGTACATTTTGGCATGTACCATTATAGGCTTCAGTATACAGTCGGGTTTGTCCTTCACGGTGTATCTTTATAATAAATAAGATAGTTCTGACTGCCTTTGTCTGCTACCAATTCGGTGTGATTCTCTGTGGTGTTTTCTTTCATGTCCTTTCTCTTCTTAATCATTATTTTCCCTCCAGTAACCAGAGTTGCATTTAATACTGTGAAGGTAAGCCCCTTTATTTTTGGTGATTTTTTGTTTTGCTTTGTGATAAAACTATATATGTCAAAACGTTTGCCAATTCGACATTTCTCTCTATGTGTTCAATTTTGTGACATTGATTGCATTCTTTATGTTGTTCAACCATCACCACTAACCTTTTCCAAATTCCTTCACCACCTTTGGTGGGTTATGAGTTGAGTTGCTTAACCG